TGTATTCAGGTGAAAGATCTAATTTAAGTACGTTTATTTATTTTAAATAATCCAACGACACATACTCTAACTTGAGGGTTATGTAAATCTGTGTTTAACATTATAACCGAATAAGATAAAACAAATGTAGCGTCTTGTGTTGCAATTTCCTCTAAATTTACAATTTTGAAAATTTTAATTCTTATAGACGAATTCATAAAATTCATAATTGGAACAATCAAAAATAATCTTACGTGGCCCAGAGGCAAAATATGTTTCAGCAAACGTCTCCATTATTCGTTCAATCTGTTGCGCTTCACCTGGTAATCGGAAAGACTCTAACATCTCTCTCATAGCTTCATCTATTCGTTTCTTACAAATTTCATGGGCAACATATCAGTTTTAACTGCTAATTCGCACATATCAAACTATAGATTTAATACATACTCCTTCAAAATCAAAAAGTTTTACAAATGCCTTAAGTACATCAATGTTTGATGGTTTCGACAGAAAATCACCCAAAAGTTTTTTATTTAAACGAGGCGTTGATTTTAAAAAAAGTGCAAGACTAGTGTTTTTGTCAATAGCAGGATCATTATATATTATCCCATTTGCTACTCAAAATAATAAAATCAAAAAATTACTACAGAGCTGAAACAATGGAAATTATATGTATTCGTTTGTTTCTAGAAGAATCACCTTGAAGAAACTCAATCCCGGTTTTTGGATTTTCGTTAAATCTTGCTGCCCCTTCTCTTAATATTTGTTTTTGCTGTTTTAGTAGCAAAAGGTCTGATGCAGATGGATATGACTTGTTCAAAGACAATTTAGATAGCGTTAGGCAATTTAGTAGCAAACTATGAAAATAATCAAGAAAAGTGTTTGCAATTTTTTTCTTACAATTGGCCTCAATCCAGTATTGTATTCGGTTGCTGACATTTTATCCCAAGCCAATCCGCAAGTTGAACGGCGATCTCTGCCTTTCTATTGAAAAATTTATGACGCAATAAGTGATTTTATCCAGCCTCAAGTTAGAGTATGTGTCGTTGGATTATTTAAAATAAATAAACGTACTTAAATTAGATCTTTCACCTGAATACA